GGCGATGCGGGACTGTGGCAGCATGCTGGCGCTTTCTGTTCTGAGCGCTAGGCATTGCTGATGTGGCGCTGCAACCTGTCTACCTTGCTGATGTGGAGCATGGCACCTGTCTACACGGCTGGCATGGCGCATGTCATTTGTCTACACTGCTGATGTGGCACATGCCACTTGTCTCCATTATTGATGCGGCGCTGCAACCTAACTACATTGCATTGCTAATGTGGTGCTGCCACCTGTCTTCATTGTTGGTGCGGCACATGCCACCTGTCTCTATTGTTGACGTGACGTAGGACACGCTGTCCACATGTGGTCACTGAATGCGACAAGGAGGGGGATCGGGATCTGTGGATGATTGGGATATGGTACTCATCTGAGGTTGACGTTGTTACCATATGCTGCTGGTGTCTTCATGATCTCCACGAGATAATAGTGCCACGTGGAACTTCGGTGTGATCAAAACTTATCAGACTTGTATCGTATATTGGTTGATGATGTGGAGGTGAGAGGAAGCCCGGAGAAGAAGAGGGGTTTTAWTAGGYTACTSTYGWAWGCTCWATKCTCATTGATTATCTCTTCCACCTTCTCTTCTGTCTATTCTCCCTCCACTCTCTTCACCTTTGGTAACGAGATATTGTTTCAGATATCACTTCACATTAGYTGGAGACATTGTGCAGATCTGAGTCTCCTTGTGCTTCGACGTCTGTTGAGTATCTTCCAGTCTAGGTTCATTACACTTTGGTATCGGAGCATACTCCTTAATAGCAATCTGTTTCCACGTGCCGACATGGCACCGAGGTAAGTGGGAGATGCCACATGTGCAGGACGAAACACGTTTATGAACGTGCGTGGTCAATACCGCAGGTCTAGACGTTGAGTACCACACATGCGGGCAACCTTCATTGAAGATGATGGTGTGGCTACACTGAAGACTTCGAGATACCGGCAGGAGTTTCGTTGGCACTAGGCTGATGTGGTGCTGGTCTAGAGGGAGAGAAATGTGAGATCAGAACCGCATATGTGGCGCACTGCCTACGTGGAATGCTAATGTGACATTCTGGCAAGGCATGGTCTGACGTGGCATGYMAGTGTTGTGTATGTTGTAGACATGCATTGTTGATGGGGCATCCCCCCCTCGTAGACCTTTTAAGTCTTTGACGCTGACGTGGTAGACTCTATAGAGTTACTGCGTTGGCATGCCAGGGATGACACGTGGCATGCATAACACGCTGGGATAATCGGTAGAAGGCACCCACGCCAAAACCTTTTCGGTTTTAGCCGCCTAAAGTTTAGCCGTTTGGTACTACCGGCCCAATGACTTGCATGTGGGGTACTACAGGCCCACGCGTCGCTCCAAGGGCCCTACCGGATCATGAATCTGGCGCAGAAACTGCGCCAGATTCATTTTCATGTAAAAGAGGCTGGGCGTGGTAACTCTGAAGTATCGAATGAGGCCCGCGTACGCGATTTTGAAAAAGAAGGGCCCTACCGATCATGAATCTGGCGCAGAAACAACGCCAAATTCTTGAACCGGTGAAAACAGGCCCAAGGAGATGTGGCCATGGCGCGAAGGCGCCTTTCACCAAGGGGAACGTTGTTTGGGCCGGTAGTACCAAACGACCGAACTTTGGGCGGCCAAAACCGAAAAGGTTTTGGTGTGGGTGTGACGCGCAACCTCACAGCCTGTGTTGTCTTCCGTTCGGAGTGTTAGCCATGCGGAAAGAGGCCCAGAAAAACAGCAAGATAAGGTGTGCCAATGATTTTTGGAAATTGAGTGTGGGGACACAGACGAAACTGAAATCCCCTGTGTGGGTCCAATGAAGCAAGTCGATCGTTTTTCGCGCGTCGCAGAATGCGCGCAGACAAGGCGGGAGGAGGGAAGAATCCAAATTCAATCCAAAAAATATTGTCGCGCTTCCCACCGGGCTACGGCYCGTCGTTTAGAACGGAAAGGCTTTGGCACGCTTCGCGTGTCCCGTTTCCGTATCAAGTCTCGTCATCGTTCGCTGTTTAGTTTCGAGTCTAACGTGGATGGTCTCAACCGTGTGGCTCTCTCCTTGTGCTCGTCTTCACTCCGTATCCAGTAGTGAAAGCTTTTCAATTCGTAGCGATCGAAACGCTCGCACTCATTGCACAAGGTTCAAGGCCAATGAGGCCCTACTGTCGTCCACGGAATGACGATCAATTCGTTAAATGGGAGCAATATCGAGTAGGGTGAGAAGTGGGTATCGATAATGACAAAGCCTGCATCTACGAATCCAGAACAACGATTTTTGGGAGGGAAGAAGTAGTGTCGGCCGATTCGTGCGACGGCTTCTCGTACGTCCCACTCACATACACATGTCCTTTCCTCGTTATAGGGAAAAGGCCGTGTCGGAATGGGGGATATGGTAGGCTGGCGCCTGATTGGAGGGTACTGGTCTGTCCATATATCAATCAATTGCAAGRACCTTGAGAGGTCATCAAGGGAAGAAAAATGCTTGCGCAACTTACAATCAATCCCTTTCGATACGAGAGAGAGAGTGAAAAGAAAGTGTCTCCTCAGCTTGAAGCATGCATATAGCCGAGAGATCTATTCGTGGCTCGGGTTTAGCGAGCCAACGCGGCGTGTGGTTCGGCTGCTGATGTCGTGCAGCATAAGGCAGATGGCATGCGCATTTCTTTCAGAGCTACAGATCTAAACACTCTTGCATTYTCGAACAAAATCCCGACGACGATCGTCTAATTTAACACGAAAAAGAGTCGCACATTTCCATACATGCGTTCACTGTAGAAGGTGCGAAAATGAGACATGCATCGGAAAAGATGGGTCGTATTGCAMAGTACACAGGCATCCACCGTTCACAAGACAAGAAGGCGGGGTCCTTGCATAGAAGGATTACCCAGGAAACTAATGGAAGAGTTCCGGTAGAAGTTCTTTCAAGCGAGGGAAGCGCACCGATTCGCTCCTACTCAGGAGAGAAAGTGAGAGACATTCAATCGAGACACATCATTATTCAAAAGCAGACAAATGAGAGGGGGGGGGGGGAAGAGAGTCGAGATAGGTGATGACCAGATCTGGAAGAGAGACATTCGACATGACCGCCATGCACTCACGCCAAAGGTAAAGATCCGCAAAACTCGACGCGGTTCGCCCAGATCCCACAGTCCGTCGTGGCGATCCAATGCGCAACCGGCCAGCCTATTGCGAGCCCTACAGGTCTTTCCGACTCGCATCAACACACTCTGCCTAGCCACTGCTTCCCTGAAGCTGGCTTAAGAGTCGAAAACGTAAGAGAGATTTGCGGGCGCGCTTGCGGGTTTTATGGTTSCGCGAAAGGAGATAGAAGGGGGAGAGAACGACGGGAAGGTGGGGGTGTAGGAGAAGAAGGAGGAGAAGGAGGAGAAGACCTTGAGAASAGCGCTTCGAGAACGCCATGTTGATCCCTCCGAACTCAAGGTTCAACCAATCAGATTCGTCGTGCGATAGGAAGGTCCTATCGATCCACGCACCTGATTGGCGAGCGGGAGTTATCGGGGGATCGACCAGGCGTTGTACGCCAGACTCAGAGGGTGAGAAGAGAAAAGGCGCGAGAGGTGGCGCAAGACGGGTCCAAGATTCAGACGATCAAGAAAGGGAAGTGGGCCCGCAAACAGCAAGATGGGGGAGGGGGAGGAGAGAAGGAAACAGTTACGGGGAGAGAGAAAGAGGAGGGAGAAGGAAAGGGAGCGCGGGAGGAAGCGCTACAGGGGGCCAGAGGGGAGGAAGCTATGCATGCACGGCGCCGTCAACAGAAAAAGAGAAAAAGGCACCGAAACGGTTACAACTTGCTTCTATCCTAATTCAAAATTAAAATCACCATATCCGCGCCCGAAAGAGCGACGCGGGAAAATAAAATCCTACGCCTAATCGTATCCGGACAAAATTCCGAAAGTTTTCTCCGACGCCACCAAGAACATTCACACACTCGAAAAGGACACGTCGAAGTTCCGCTTGTCCCAGAATTCTCAGCCGCTGAGCCCAATTCCCAGTGCACTCGCTAAAGCGCACGTAAATTTCCATGTATTTCTCGACTTTGCAAAAAGAAAAACAGAACCCAGAAATCGAAAAAGCTTTAAAAAAAAAAGAAAAATGCGGCACCCGAAAGAAAGAAATCAAAACGGGGTTTTCCTGGGGTTGGTATCATACAAGCAAAAAAAAGGGTATGAAAGATGGCACGGGTTCGGGAAGTGGTTCGTCACATATGTGACGCGCAGGGGGTTCCAAAATTATGCGATCTCCTGATTGCATGGCATGGCAAAAGAAAGAGGGGAGAAAAGAGTGATGCATGAGGAACCAAGCATATCATCAGAGCAAAAGAAGTACAAGGAACGATAACTGGGTCGCGGATGAGATGGCGACAACATCCGTGGCAAGATCTCCGCAGCCATGTCATATGCAACCCTGTGCCTCGTGGAGATCGTGTAGGTGACGCCATCATGGTCCTCCTGATCTCCGTGTGCTGTGCACCCCTGTTTGTTGTTGTCTGTCGAATCAGCGCGTAGGTTGACGTCATCGTCGTTGGCGTGATCTTCGTGAAGCTTACTGATCCGTGCCGATGAAGGGAGGAGAGGAAGGGGAGAGCAGGTCAAGTGAGTGGGATCTACCGCCTAGTTGGAATAGGCCTGTAGAGGCGGTACATGGAGGGGATGTCGCGGGGATGACGGGGAGGAAGTGGGGGGAAGCGATTCATCCCTTCCATCGTCACCGGGAGCTCCTCATATCGGATGATTCGGTGAAAGCGGGGGAAATTATCGCCGCTGCGGGGAAGGGAAGCGAGGCAGTCGCGATAGAAGGAAGAGAGGAAGCGGAAGAGCGCCGCTCGAAAGATCTCGAAGTGGCGGCAAGCGGGGATTGTCCTCGTGGCAACGCAGTAAACTTCTACCACGTTGCATCGCTCCCATGCAGTGCTGAACAGCAGGAAATGCCAGCAGAACGTGGGGGCAACGGATTGAAGGGAGGCGCGGGGGTGGACGGTGGCGAGTAGACGGGTAGAATAGAAATCGCGGAAGAGATGGGGATGGAAAGGATGGGAAGGGAAGGTGACGGGGGTACGGATCTGCTCAAGGGTGAGGAAGTCAAGGGGTCGGCGGGACAGCGTCCGAGGACGAATGCCTATCGCCCGCATCGGTACGTGGGCAAACTGGGGGATGGGTGGGGCTGGAGGAGGAGGGGGATCGGCTCCGTCTCCGTCGCGTGGTACTTGAGGTGGCGGCTGCAGGGTCGCCATCTTTGTGCTTCGACGGCTCTGGATCCCTGGTCGGATCGCTACCGACGTGCAGGCTTACTTCGCTGGCGAACTCCAGCTGACGCTTCCTGGTGGCAATTTCTTCGCGCTTTCGCGCCGCTTTCGGATCTTCCACCTCCGTTCCCGTACGCGTCGCTTCCTCCGGCAAGGCTTCCCACTCGGATCCGGTTTCTTCTTCCTCCTCTTCTCCTTCGCTCAGCTCGCCCTCGCTATGTTCACTATAGCTTCCCTCTTCCGATGTTTCCTCGTCGTCGTCGTCTTCTTCTTCGTCGTCGTCGATCACCACTTCGTCTGCCCTCGGATAGAAGGCGTGAGGGATGATCTCATATGGCTTCAGATACTCCTGCCGGATGGTCGGGTATCCTCGTCCCTGGGTTCCTCCAAGCACGTGGTCCACTGAAGATACAGATCCAATGATCGCTCGAAAATGTACGGAGCAAGACTGTCGTCACTCTGAAAATAGATGTTGGGCCAGATATCGTCTGCCAATTGCACAATCGATGCGATAAGCTCCTGCTAAATCAGGTGGCATCGACCTGGCCGTACCGATCCGAAGAGAAAGCCAAGAAGATCTCCTTCCACGTTAGTCCTCCAAGCTTGTATGATCAGCAGCTCCGGATTCTCGATCCACGTGGGATGCTCACTAGTGCCCGTCCACGTCACCTGTACTCTGGCCAAGCAAAAGGACAACTCCTCAAAAGTTTTGCGCTACAATCGCCAATGTCCAGGATTGATAAGAGGGGCTGAAAGAGGCTTGAATGAGAAGGAAAGAGAAGGGTGAAGATCAGATTGCCAGAGTGGGGAAGAGAGAGGGGAGACCAAGGATAGAGAGAGGAGCGAGAAGAGCAGCGTGGTTCATTGGGGATGGGGGAAGGGGACGATGGTCGGGATCACAACTGGCCGTGCGCGCGGTGATCGACGAATACTGTCAAGATCCGATACAAAGATCGGGATGATGTTATACCCCTATCGGGCGAGGACGTGCTGCCACACATTGGACACTAGCTCCATCCACTCGCGCAGGGAGGCCAAGATCGCGGTATGCCACAGTGGATTGACCGAGCTGATGTCGCCGGTAAATGCTGCCACCGTGGTGACGTGGCTCGTTCTGGGACCCGCTCGTCGATGAACTGCGGTAACCTCCGCGAATACTATTGCACGAGGACTTCCTTCGATTCGAAACGTGGCGGCGATACAGATACCTTCGTCGCAGAAGAAGCGCATCAAACGCCGAAGATCCTCATTGAGCCGAGGGTGACAAACTTGCTGAATCTCTGAGATGTGGCTACGTGGCTACAACAGCTGAATGTCAAGAGCCCGCTCCGTGATAAAACTTATGGCGAGGTCAGAGAGGAGGGCGAAGGACAGGAGGGAGAAAAACGGGAGAAAAGTTAGGTCGTCGTTCTCCTCGCTTTTCGAGGAAGTAGAGGGAGGGAGATCGGAAGGAGGAAGGAGACGGAGGTAGGAGGTATGCCGGATGATGAGGACAAAGTGATGGTTGGCACTAGCCTAACGCGCGATGCGCACCGTGTTGGCGCCGTTGGGTCCGAGTTCGACAACGAGGAAACAACCAGAGAACTTGGGAGCGAGTTTCCAGTCGCATGCACATTTACGTACCTGCACTAGGTCCCGTAATTTATATTGGTACTAGGGTCCAGCATTTCCATTCCGGGCCTCGTAGCTACGGACCTGTCTCCCGTGGGCCATATCAGTCATCCTTTGTCTTTCCGGGCTAGCTTCGGGACGGCCCGTTCCATTGATTCAATGTATTTTTGGCCTTGGCCTTGAGAGCTGCACGCGTGTCGCTACCCCCTGCTTCGGCAATTTCCGAGTTACCTCGGTAATCGACACAAGGGAGGCTATTAGTTCGAAGCTGAAAGGGGGTGAACCCTGGAGACTCATGAGGGGTGGCCCGGTGGTTCCCGACGATCTGATATACGATCTTGGGCCAAGGATGCGTGTCGTGTGCCGCTAAGTTCCTGCAAAGGGCAGTTTTAATCATATGGTTGGCATTCTCAGCCAACCCATTCGACTGGGACACGTGGGGTGCCGTATGTTGGAGCGTGACGCCCCTTTGCGCAAGCAGTTTTTCTACCTCTCCTTTGAATTCCGACCCATTTTCAGTTAGAATTTCTTCCGTATCTAGATGGGTATAGAGGAATCGTTCGATGTATGTGGCAATTTCGGCAGCCTTTCGGATCTTACAAGGATAGACTTCGATGAATTTGAAAAAATGGTCAATTAAAACTAACAGGATGGAATATTCACAGCGGTTTGGGCCAGGTGGCACATCAATATCGGTCGTGTCCATACTGACTCGCTGGAAAGGACGCTCTACTTCCGTGGGTACGATCGTGTTTGGTCCCCGTATAAGGGCGCGATCAGCGGCACAGACCTGACAATTAGTGACAATGTACTGGACGTCATCTCGTATATTGGACCAGAACCATCGGTTCTGGTCTACAGTTGCCTCCGTGACACGTATCGCGAAATGAGCGGCCTGTTCTTCGTAAGTAGATCAGATCCAATCGTATCTCTGAAATGGATGGGGAACTGTCAACCACGAGCCCGACCCATCACTTTTACGCTTTTTCAAATGACCGTTGATCCATCGATAGTCCCGAGATCTCTCGGTTGCCCTACGTCTCTCGTATTTGGTGAGGTGGCCCAACGATAATCCCGCTAATTTTGCTGATAAAATTTTATCCGTCCAAACCTCTGCGCGTCGGTATTTTTCGTCGTATTCAGGGTCGTCCGTACGGGCGGCCTCGAATCAAACCTCCATGGGGAGCTTGTTTGTTCCACAAAGGGGGCACCTCCATTCCTTGCTACTCGTCCAATATCGAACGCAGGCCCCGAGCGCACGGTTGACACACGTGGCACATTCTACCCAATCGACAAATCCGGTCTCGAAGGGATGACAGTCGACCCCATAAACTCGTGCAATACACGTGCAAAAATAGCAGAATTTATCGGGAAGGGTGGCGAAGAAAGCCTAGGAAGTTAGAGGGGCAGAGTTAGTAAGAGAAGAAGGGATTGGAGAGGCGAGTGGGGTAGTCATGATGGCAGAGGAGGAGGGGATACAGGGAGAGCATAACAGAACAATTAGTCCTCGTGTCACTTACTGCTTCGATAAGATCTCCACTTGGCCGTACCGAGGTCCGATCTCCTGTTCGGGTTCGTTCCACAAAATTACCTCCTCACCCTTTGGAACCTATTTAGGCCTGTGCAGCTGTGTCAGTCCGTCCGCATTTCCGTGTCTCTTGTGCTTTCGATGACAAATGTCTAAGTCTATACTCTGCAGCACCGTTGCCCATCGCCCGGTCATGCCAGAGTAATCCTTCGACTTCTTCAGAGCCAACAGGGGCTCATGATTAGTCACCAGGGTGAATTTTCGCCCGTACAGGTAAGCACAAAAGTGACTGAATTCTCCAGAGAACCGCATAGCATTCACCCATTGGAGCGGCGTAATTGCGCTTGCAGGCGGGCACTGAGTTGGACGCATACTCCACTACAGTCTCGAGTCCGCTCGGTCCCACCTGGGCAAGGATCACTGAAATCGCCTCTGGCTGCTAGTCGGTGATGAGAACAAAGGTTTTTCGGGATCCGGTCTTATAAGGACCTGAGCCGAAATGAGAGCAACCTTGAGTTTGGAAAACGCTTGATCGCACTCCGGTGTCCAGATCAACGACTGATCCTTGCGCAGCAGATTTGTGAGGGGTCCCACAATCGCCGCGAAGCCCTTGATAAATCTTAGGTAGTACGAGGCTAGGCCCAGAAACGCGCGAACTTGGGTAATAGTCGTAGGCACCGGTGCGTCCCTGACATCAGCCACCTTCTGCGGCTCTGGTTGGAGTCCTTTCTCTATCACCACGTGCCCAAGGAAGGAAATGGTGGTGAGGAAAAACTGACACTTCTCAAGCGCCACCTTGAAACCTGCGTCTCGTAACGCATGTAGTGCCCATTCGATGTGCTGCACGTGTCCCTCGTAGGAGCTCGAATACACCAAGATGTCATCCATGTACACAATCACGCAGTAGTTGATGATGCTCTGCGCCAGGCGAGTCTTCCGCACGAAATTCTGAAAAGCCATGTTCATGGCCCGCTGAAAAGTCGCAGGGGCGTTGCAGATACCCATCGGGCATCGAATCCATTGCCACGTACCTTCGAAAAGCACAAATGTGGTTTTCGGACGATCTTCTTCTCGGACAAGAAGATGATGGAATCCATGGCGAACATCAAACTTGATGAAAAATCGAGCACTCCCAATCGCATCCAACAATTCATCAATCCAGGGGAGGGGGCACACATCTTTAATCGTGATATCATTCAATTTTCGATAATCAATACAAATACGAATCCCTCTGGCCTTTTTGGGTACGATTACTACGGGAAAAGACCACGGACCTATAGCAGGTTGGATCCATCCATTAGCTTCGAACTCCTTAATCCGCTGAAAAGCGGCAGCTCTTTGAGCTGGCGAGTATCGGTAGGGAGCGCAACTAATGGGTGGATGATCTCCCGTGAGAATGGCATGCTCAATCACATTAGTTAAGCCGATGTCCTTATCGTGTACACTCAATACTTCCTCGTAGCCATTCAACACACGAATCAACGATTTTCGAAGTTCCGCGGGGACGTAACCTGGCAAGGTGATTGTACAATTCCCCGAAAATCTTAAGGGGCATATCAATCCAATCAACCGGCCGTTTCCGTCGATCATGGATACTAGAAAAAATGGAACTACTGGTGCGAATAGAGAAGACAGTTGCTATCATCTCGGACTCAGCAGGGCTGATCGTCTCTGTTTCTTTAGTTTCAGCATCAGTTTCTGAACCAACCGAGGTTGGTTCCACAGTTAGCCCTGTTAGATCCGTTATTTTTTGCATCAGATTGGGTACATCATTTACCGGTGCTTTCGCCTCTTGTTTAATCAAGGCGATGGTGGCTCCTGTCGTTAGTAACGATCGGGGTGGAAAAACAGAAACGTCTAAATAATGTTCCGTTTGCTGATAACGTGTTCGTAAGGAGAGAGTTCCCTCGTACAAGGTACGAGGGGGTTCCAAATCATCAGCCAGATCGGAAACTTGCAATATAGGTTCCCTGAGGAGGATTGAAGGACTGATCCGGGTCGTCAGAGGCGTGCACGCGCTGTCTCCGACGTCCACGTGGAAGCTTCGGGTGGTGTGAGGTACACTTGAAATTCCTCGGGAACTTCTCTTTCGAAAAGCTCGACCAGGTGCCTCCATTTTTCTTCGCTGGGCATCTTTTCTTTGTATCCTTGCTCTCTGATTCCATCTCCGAGGCGTGAGGGAGAGCATTCATCGGGATCAACGCATCGAATCATCCCTATTTGGGTCAGGCTAGGGATCCGCTTTATCGTTCGGGTGGAAACTCGCAAAGGAACAGTTTGAGGTTTTCTCCTGGTTTGTGTCAGTACCAGTTGTCTCAAATCGAAATGTAGACGTGCGCCTACCACCATCGGCCAAGGTAATCCCAATAATACAGAATAGGAACGTACATCTATTACAAGCGCGTTAACAAGGACGTGTACTCACTCGACTTTTACAGCCACGTTCTCAGTAATGCCTACGATGTTCATTGCCTCCTCGTCGGCAGAGACACAATTGTCTTTGCCAGATTGAGGAAGAACGGATCCCAGTTGTCCCATCTTTTTAACAATATCTGGTGATATGGCCACGACAGAAGACCCTGTGTCAATAAGGGCATTAAACGGCTTGCCCCAAACTTCACAGTCACATTCCGCACTTTTTCACAATACAGGCCGAGCTCGTACGAAGTGATCTTTTTCTGCTAAATAGATCGCTGCTATTCGTGCGGCTTCGGGTTCTTTCGTGTCAGGTTTGGGAGGTGCAACCTCCTCGTTTCCTTCCTTCTTCTTCAACATCCGTTATATGTGCTGATAGGTGAAGCGCTTTTGATTTTTCTCACATTGTTGTAGAAGTTTATTGTTTACTGCTTCAGATATGGTAAGCAGATGTCCAACAGGGATAGGTTCACGAATATGTAATTACTTGAACGTTTTCAATACATCAATATCTCCTGTCTGAAAGTGCGGTCCAAGATGGGACTCGCGATCGATCCATTCGAGATCATCTTGGGCAGATCGGATCGCTCTGATCATTCCGGCAAGATGAAGATACTCGAGGGGATCGACCACATCAGCAGCATCAGAGGAAGAAGCTCCTGAGGTCGACGTTCGCCGAAGAGGAAGGCTGTTCTGGAGCATACGCTACGAGCTCTCCTCCCTAGTCCTAGTTCATCAGAGCGGCCACTCGTCCTTGATTAAGGGCGACAGGGGCCGCAGCAGGGGGAGGCTGATGACGTTTCGGCTGCGGACAGTCTCGGGCAAAATGCCCGGGCTGTTTGAAGTTGAAACAGTCGATCTTTCCTGCCGGATTAGCTAGATTGGGATACTGAGGGGCGAATCCCGGACCAGGCGGAACACGTAAGAGCGGAAACGATGCAGGGGCAGGTCGGGCTGGAGCCGGGTTAGGCTGAATGAGCCGGCTCATTATCTGTTCCATACGTTCCATGTGAGCCGCCTGCGTTTGGATCAAGTTACTCATCCATTCGGACTGCTTGGTAGTGGCCGTATGAATCATCTGGGCAAGATGCAAATTGGTTACTGCCGGCGAGGGGGGTTCAGATGAAGTTCCGCTTCTAACAGCTGCGATCGATTGATTCACCGGGGAAGAGGGAGGAGAAGCAGTTGGGATATCGGAAATGGTTCCGTCGGGAAGGTTATGATTAGGGCGGGGATAAAACCGTTCGACCGCCTGCAACCATGATCGTCTTTTAGCGGTAACATCCCGTATAGTATTCGTAATGTCTTCGTCTCCTTGGCTGATGTACTTTTTCGTATCAGCCAGGTCTAGTTCCAAAACTTTAGTTATGATAGCCGCTAACGGGTGTGTTTTCGGCGGAACCTTTTTCTGTAACTTCCCTTTCAGTGTCGGACTTCGTAGGTGATCGATGAACACGTCCCGAGCGGATTTCTCGTCTCCCCCGGATTTGTCCAATATGATTTGAAACCGATCAACGAAATCAGGTAACAGTTCCCCTAGTCCTTAAGGTCGATTTTTGAGTACATACCAAGCGGCATCTTCACTAACCGTATCGCATCGAGCCAAAAATGCTCGCTTGAAAGTATCACAATCTACCCACGTATGTTTTCTAAACCAGTCATGTGAGGTGTTGCGAAGTAGTAGTGTCAGAACGCGGAGGAGATCGGTCGCGTTGTAGTTCTAAGCTTCGACAGCTTCCAGCCAAGCCTCGGGATGGGTATGGTTAGGGAAGAAGGGGAAAGGGGGCAGGGACGCTAACGATCACCCTAGTACCGTTCACCATTGGTATTGCTGGCGCAACCGTACTAGACTGAGACCTGGTTACGGGGCGATCTCGACGAGCTAGTTGAGGGTCTCTCTTACGTCTCGCCAGTTCGACTTACTATCATCAGAACCGACACATGTCGGCTCCGTTACCAACCGCACGCCCTGTGCTGTCTTCCGTTCGGAATGTTAGGCATGCGGAAAGAGGCCCAGGCATTCTCCATCTTTTTTTTTTTTTTTTGCCTTTCCTTTTTCTTTGAAAAGCCAAGGGTGTTGTAAGGGCCAGTTACTAGGCACACATTGATCGCCCGGAGCGATCAGCAATGGTTGTCCTGAGGATGAGGGAACGTGGCTACCCATCTCAATCAGCTCAGGAACCCTTCATTCAAGTCTGCTGTGGTCATCACAGCAAGGGTTTGACCTTAGATCCACAGATTGCTCGTGTTCCACTCGTGCGTCTGCTCTTGAAACATAGTCGCAAAGCCACAACCTTGTTTTAGTGTTGAACAAGTACCCACTCAATAGAAAGAAAACTGAATACCAATTGGCCTAGATCAGTTGGTTCACCCAATGAGATGGGGAAATACTGCCCCGTGTTCGAATCCAGAAAAGAAAAAAAAACATCTGGATGAAGCATCGAATGAACCACCGCCAACTCTTTGCCCCAATCATGCGAACCAACGAGCACTGAAGCCTTTCAGGCAGTCGTTCTCAATCAGCCAAGAAAACCTTTGGGTAACGCTTTTTGGTACTTGTCGTCTTCCTATGTGTCCAAAATCAGATTCAATGGGGGTTTTGAGTTGAACGGTTCAACTCCCATTCAACTCCCGTTTCAACTCCCGTTTCAACTCCCCGTTGAACCGAGTGTGTGTGTGTGTGTGTGTGTGTGTGTGTGTGTGTGTGTGTGTGTGTGTGTGTGTGTGTGTGTGTGATTGGGTAGGGGTTGGGGGCGCGACCCATCCCCCACGATTGGGTGGGGGATGGGGGGGCGCCTCATCCCCCACCAGTCAATGAATCAATCAATCAATCAATCAATCAATAAAAAAGGAAAAAGGAAAAGTAAAAATAACGAAAAAAGCGATTCAACGGTGATTCAACGGGATTCAACGGGAATTCAACAGGGATTCAACAGGGATTCAATGGGATTCAACGGGACGATTTCATTTTTCGTTCACGTGCGTCCAGCGTTGTGTCCGAGGCCCAATGCACCCTCCCCGTTGAACAATATTCAACGGGGAGGGCCCGTTGTACCATTTAACGGAAATTTAACGGGGCCCCGGGGGCTATTCAATGGGTACAACGGAGTTGAAACTTTCCCGTTGCCCGTTGAATAGACACATAGCCGTCTTCCAAGCAAGGGTTCTAACTGAGATCCAAAGGACCAAAGGTTGGTCATGTTTAACTTGGTATCCAGATCCATTTCCCCCCTCTGAGCTAGCCTTGGTAGATTTACAATGGTTTGAATAAGCGGAAAGCTGAATTTTTTTTTAAGGCCGACAAAGTAGCCCGGAAAGGTTGACAAATCATGCAATCCTAGGAAGTGCAATGAACCAAAGTCATGAACATCAGAATACGATTGTTGACAATGCAAGTCTAAATTATCGAGCCGCTGATAGTTCCAATAATCAAACAGTATCCATAAATAAAGAGGTGAGATAATCATACACAGTCGAAGAGGAAGGAGGGAGGAAAGACAAGGGAGAAGAAGTCACAATGCCCACTCCTTCTCCRGGCTCCTTCCTTTATCGCCACCTACAGTAACCAGTAATCTGAACACAT